AAATATGATTTTAGATAAATACACACTAACTTAAAATGATTACATTTAGTTAATTATGAATAATTATCATCAATCATCTAATTTATTTTGATGACTTGGTGATCTTTTGCCCATAATGCTGGTCTGCAACAGTTAATGGAGATGTTCTCTGTGTGGATTAGAACATCAAGTACAGTGCCATAAAGAGTAACTGCATGACTGTGAGAAGTAGGGAGGACAGAATATTTCTTTCTCTCAAATGTCTCCCTGAAGGAGTGTACTAATATCAAATATTTGGGAAATTGTTTACTTGTTCTCATAATCACCTTTATTTGGCCAAATATGTTACACACAAGGAATTTGTTTCCAGTACAGAACTGAACTCGTCAACTCACACCGAAGGCTCTAACCATTGGGGGCCAACGTCTTGTCCAAGGATGCTTCGACATGTGGACTGCAGGCAACTCTCCGGTTGGGAGACGACTGCTCTACCCACTGAACTACAGTTGCCCCACTTTATTTATTTTATAATCAATCACAAGTCAAGGATAATAGTTCTGAGGTTTAAAGTAAGCTTTCACTGTAGTAGCTGCTGTTAGCTTTTGTCCTGATCCTTCTTGCAAGTTAATATGTTTACTGCTATAAATGGATCTGGGGACATCAATACATGCATACAGTGAGGAACAGAAGTATTTGAAAACCCTGCGATTTTGCAAGTTCTCCCACTTAGAAATCATGGAGGGGTCTGAAATTCACATTGTAGGTGCATTCCCACTCTGAGAGACAGAATAAAAAAAAAAATTCAGGAAATCACATTGTATGATTTTTAAAGAATTTATTTGTCTAGCACATTAGTTCAGGGACTAAGCGGTAGAAAATGAGTGAATTAGACTTGATTGAAATGTCTGGCTTTGGGAGTTTTGATTATAATGTAACTCATTAGCTGTGTGCACTTTACCAGCATCTCCAAGTGCTCAAATAATAATCATCCTTAACATATGTCTAATAATGCTAATGTCATCAGGATGAGATAAGGCTGAGAAAATGAAGAAATAATTAGAATGTCCACACCACCTTTCCCCAGCCAATCACTTTTGATTTCCAAAGACTTCTTTACCTTTCAACATCTATTCCCAAAGTCTGGCACATACAGTATAACTGACTGGATGATTGATGGCTCAAATTTCCCTCCATGTAATGTCTAATATTAGATTCTGAATAATACGTAAGTCAGTCTGCACTGCTGAGAGATGGATGGCATGCACGGTGCACATGTAGACAGTTGCGCACGCACACCACATCACAACTCAAAATGTCTTGTATATCTGAGGGCAAGCATGCAAACATTTTAACACACAGTACAGACACACTCCCTGCTAAAATAGATACAATATTCTCTCCTGTAAAATATGTATGAAATGAAAAGATGAACACAAAACAACCAGAGCTGGTGCAAAGTTCAAAGATGCTGCAGCACATGTTGCCAAAGTACATTTTAAAATGTGTGGATCCTCTCTTGTCCCTTATTCCTTATTGTTCCTTACGAGGACCTTGTACTGTATATCATCTTCATTTTTAGATTTTAGACAGTAATCCTCTTCTGTCTGACAACCTCCATTTTAAAAACCTCAACTGATCCAGGATGATTGAACTGTTATGTTTTCTTCTGTGAAAATGAACCAGCTCAGATAACCATAATAGAGGTGATGCCAGACCACAAATTGAGGCTGGAGGTGGGAGTGGATCATGGCTCCAGCAGCCTCAGTGATTCAGTGACTCGCCCCAGACAACTGTGATCTGATGCTTAAAGCTTGTTTTGCTTGCTTTCAAAGCCCCAGTTCAAGCAGTCCACAGAGACTTGTTGTTGTGAGCAGACAGGCACATCAAGCAGATCAAACTCACCTAACTATGTTTCAAACATGGAAACATAAGTTGTAACATGTCTGTCACTAAGTCTTTCTCTACTGTTTGACATGTCTGGGCACATCCAAGCAGATCAAACTCACCTAACCATGTTTCAAACATGGAAACATGAGTTGTAACATGTCTGTCACAAAGTCTTTCTCTACTGTTTGACATGTCTCCAACCCCAGAACCCTATACCAGTGTTAGCTCATTTAGTATAATCAGTCAACGTGATTTATTGCTGTATTTACAGGACCCTTACAGCTGACTGTAGGAAAAGTCCTATATTGCTAACATATTTTCTATTATTTCAAACTACCCACTAAACTGGAATGAGTGCCCTCTAAGGTGGCCCCGCAGTAGAGCATACCTATAAAATACCACTATATGTGACAATTTGGAATGAAGCGCCCTCATGGGTGTCCTTTCATTGGAAGAAAATGTGATAGGGCCCCCATAAGCAAGAAACATGATAAAACACCCATAAATGAAGAAGATATAATATAGGTCCCGATGAGTTGCCACTGTAATGATTTATAGGTGCTCTTCTACTTAAAAAAGTGGCATTTAGGATGTTTCTGTGTCTAACATAGTGATGTACAGGTTTGGATTTGGATTTCAAAGACAGAAAGGTACCCCATGTGTGAGATGTGTCATGATGTGTAGTGAACAAAACGCACAATGAGGTGCAACACTCACTTTGCATGGTTCTGTTTATGGGTCAGTGCTGTGAGCATTGTAAGCTTAATCATGACAACTTATGAGATAGGTGACATACTGTAGCAAGGCTTTTTGAGATTAAATATTATGTACTTACTAATGGATGTAGATTGCTTTATTTTTATGGTACTGTTGTTTTTGTATTGTAATTTATGTATAAGTTGGTTGTATGTAGTATAACATGCAAAACAATATACTGTACTAGTAGGTAGCTAGCCAGACACATACAGTACTAGCCATCTCCATATGAAATATCTGGTATGAACTGAAAATCAGTTATAAGGTGTAGTAAAATTGTTAAGGGAACCAGAGCATTCTTTTCTCAAACGTGTGTTTACAACCCATTGTAACTCATGGATTAACTCCCACTTGTAGATTAGCATTGGGTCATCCTGTGATTAGAGAAACTGAAGCAAAAAGACAATTGCAGAGAATTCAAAAGGATCTGCAAATCCAGCTAGAGACAGTTTTTTATTAGGGTGAATCCAAAACTGCAGCAGTAAGGAAGCAGATGAGGGTACAATGCCTACATAATGTCCTGTTTTTTTGTGTTCCAATAATTTAATTAGTCATTTCAGGCCATATGAACAGTCTCTATGCATGCTGGGAAAAATGTGATCAATAAGCTGACTGGATTTTAAATCAATTTAACTCTATTTTTAGGATCCTAATTAATCTCAGTTGCAGCAAATGTTTATTGGCAACCAAAGGATCTGTTGTAATCTACAAGAAAGACAGTACCTATTTGTGTGCTCAGTCAACACATATTAAAAAGCATGTACCCTTATAAAAAATAAACACTCAAACACAGCATGTTCATGGTGCAACTGCCAAGATAATTGTACTGCAATTTACCTGAAGCTGTCTTAAAATGCTTTTGAAAAATCCTGTAGAGTGAACCAAGAAGAATAGAAACAAACAGTAACAGGATAAGTGAAGGAAGCAGAGGTGTGGATCACCACAATGCTCTCACTTCTACAATGAGTAGTGTATAATCATCATTTTTGGGGGGGTTGTGCAGGCATCTGCCTGCAAGGTGTACCTCTGTGCACAGTATACAGAGTTGAATACATTGCTTCCTTGACTGCTTGTTTGGCTCTCTTAGCTTTTTTTTCCTTAAGTGCTTCTTGTGTTGTTTATGTGTTGTCCCCTGCTAAATGCTAGGTCCTCATGCTGGCAAACAGGAGGCTTTGTCTGAGCTTTTCCTGTCTTATCTAGACCCGAGTGAAATAAAATGTCAGGCCAGCATTCCTCCTCAGTTCAATGGGAAGCCACACACAACTCAAATCAGACAGAATGCGTTGTAATTAAATGTGTCCCCAGAGTTACAAAAGCCTCCTCTAAGCTGAGGTTCCTGTTACATTATACCCTGCAGGATGTAACACATCTATGCAATAGTAGCTCAGCCATGCCAGCTAACAATAGTCTAGAAAGAATGCTGGGGTGGCAGAGTATTGTGACATTTGATGGCAAATTTTTGTTTTGGTGCTGGGATTATTATTGCAGCAGCCAGTATACAGTGAGGCATCTAAGCAGTTTTCTGAACACAGCACCTGTCTGGACACTAATTGGAAAGTGTTTGTGCTTTCTTTATACATGATCACTGGCTTTCTTAGGCAATTAAATGGCTCAGCGTGTGTTGTTGTAAGCAGTCACCCTGGTGATAGCTGAGACCGGAGGCATTATATTTTCAGGTTGTCCTTCCGTCCGGCCTATTCTTGTGAATGCGGTATCTCAGAAATGCCTTGAGGGAATTTGTGGACTCAAGGGTGAACTGATTATATTTTGTTGGTCAGAGGTTAAGGTGACACTGATGTCTGTCCCATGCCTGTGAAGTTGACTGTTTGCAGGGGGCATACAAACGTGAAGTAGTAATTCTAGATTATTGAAGTGATTCAGATGATTGAGCCTACCAGAATACACTCGTATGTAATTTCATTATTTTTTTTTTTTCCTGGATTCTCAATTGTAACTGTTCCTCAGTGTAGTTCAATGCAAAATAGCCACTTGAACAGCAATAGTGTACCAGTCTGCATTTATTCAGTCAGTGTCAATTTCAAAATTTTACAAATTACAAAATAGCACACAGTCAGTGGATGCAGACAATGTAATCTGTCAAAACAGGTTTAACTAATACCGGTGTACTGGCATGGATTACTGGCACAACTAAATGGAATTATGCCATCATCAACATTATTAGTGGCGCCTGTGATTGTCCTGCCACGAAAAATGTCTGTCATGCCCGTTTCAAAATACAGTAAGCCTTAGTGCTACAGTCATAACTGGGTGGTTTGTGGAACCAAAACCAAACAACCACAGAGCAAAAGTGTTGTCAAGGAGCCACAGATTAAATTATTTTTGGGGCATAAGTTTATAGGTTCATTCTGCTCTGGCAGGCCAGGACTCCAGGTCATTGCTGGAGATGTTTACTGAAGAAAGCCACTGCAGGACTCCACAAAGGGGTGAGATAAGTCTTTCCTCCGCCCGCTAACTTGCACATTTTGCTGTCTCATTCAAGAGAAATGTAGCAGTCAGCCAGCTGGTGTAATATGGCCTTCACTGGGGCTCTGGTTGTTCAGGAGCCAAACTCTGGTGACTCATCTCTGCTCAGGAGGGGAGATGAGAGACACAGAAGTGGTGTTTGTCAGTGAGAGTGAAAATTACCATCTGCAGGCGATCTTGCTAGCCTCTTATTTACTGACACCACCCTGTCTGGTCTGCAGTCTGTCTGCTGGCTGGCTCACTGGCTGATAAACCGAGTTTTTGATTTGCAGGCTGCCTGGATCTTTACTGTTTACTGTCTGTGTACGCTGAATGTCTTGCTTTATGCTAATGGTTCACTTACCCTCTGCATCTGTCTGATTAGCTGTCTCATGACATTCCAGTAAATAACATTTGCTCTCACAAAAAAAAAATTGAATAAAAAAAAATAATAATAAAGACTGTACTTTCACTGCTGAAGATGCACCAGTGAGTAATGTGCTGGTATAAGTATCACGGTGTTAAATGTGAAGCACTGAGACAAGCAGCATATTTTGAAGTAGAGATCCCGTCCCTCACTCAATCAGCTCATCATTTAGTCTTTTACTGAAGTTGCAGTATTGACAAAATCCTTTCTCTGGGGGCTCTTCTCACTAAAACTCTGATTAATTTCCTGATTTTTTAAATTTTTTTTTTTAAACTCTCTTCCTGTCAATAGGCTCTTAGAAAGAGGCAGAGATTTTTGTTGATATTTTAAAACGGTATCATAGAAGTAAGGTAAAAGTCATTTTTGCGGTAGACAGATTGCCATTTACTGAAGAAGTGAAGTGGCTGTCTCAACCTTTAAAGAACTGAATTAAGACAGAACAGTAGCTTCAAGGCCATTAATTTCAACTTGGTGTCAAGTGGCATTCCAGAGCAATATAGCCTATTCTTTTCCAAATTTGATTCATTTTTTAAATAAGAACAATGATTCTGGAACTATAGTGACCACTGTGCTACAGAAAGTGTGTTTTCAACTACTGTCATCTAGGATTAAGCTGCAGGCCATCGAATCACACCTAGAGAAATGCAATCCAGAAAACATCAATGTCACAAAATCACTTTATTATATAATCATGAAAATTTAATTAATAATAAGTAGTAGACAGTGTCTATGAATGACAGCCTCTCTGTAGCTGAAGTATAAGCACTATATCTGGGCATGGAGCAGAAAATATTCTAGTGTCAGTGTTTCTAGCACTCTACTTCTACTGCTGCCCGCAGTGCACCATATAATAGATAGCTCAATTTAGAAGCGTCAAATGATGCATCTATTATCACTCTCAGCGTATCCAGACCTTATGATAAAGTGCAGCAAAACTAAACGACAGAGCTATTCATCCAGGACTGATGTTGTTTTGTTACAGTTTGTAAAGTGGTGTTGATGTTGGTTGAAGACGCAAAAGTGATTTTTTTTTATTTTTTTTATATATGAATAATTGCAAGAGACTCATCTAATTGAAATGAATTGTCAGTTGGAGACAGCACTTTCCTGTATCCTGAATAAAGAATTACAATCATGATAAGTGGGGTATCACATTTTAAAGAGTCTATAAGGGCCCCTTTTTGTGACATACTGGTGGGGAAGATGTGTGACTCTGCATTTGTGTGTGTTTATGTGTGTGTGTGAGAGAGAACAAAGCATAGTGGGGACCAGATGTCAGTTAATGTAAAATCCCCACGAGGAATGAAAACATAAGTGGGTGTTGTGTATGGTGGTGGTAGTGGTGGTTGCGATGGGGTGAGAGAGTCAGACAAGTCCCGACATCTTTGTATAATGCTTCTGCAAATTGTGTTCACCACATTATTAGGTAATTCAAGGATGGTTTAGCTACAGTAGCACTATGCCTCATAGCATAAAAAGCAGCACATTATTGCAAATGTTGCTGAGTAAAGCAAATACAAACAGAAACGTCATCAAATCTGGAATTGAACTTAAGCTGATTCATAATTAATTCCTAGGAGTGTTTGTCTTTTTTTTTTTTTTTATTATTATAAAACACAGACTTAGTTTGTCTGAAAGGAGGCCCACAGTGTCTGACATTCAGACACAACTACTGTTTATTTTAAGCGCAGATTAAAATTAACAATATTCTTAGACAATTTAAGTCATTTTAAGTCATGTATCATTTTTGTGTTCAGACCTGGCTTTGTTATGACTGAAAAGAGACGTAAACTGTGATGCAAATTGCCACTTGGTGTCTAAATTGAGGAAAACTGAATTTGTAGTTACTTAATTTGAAATTCAGATTTGAGAATGAGCAACTGCAACTATACATCAGAGAGAACTGAAAACAGCTTAACAATAATTCTTTTTCTTTGTGTGTTAATATTAGCAATGCCGGTTCCAGAGCAGCCTGAGGAGCAGGAGCAGGGGGCCATGGTTCCCTCTGTGATACCAGCCTCTAATGGAGACAGATCTGAGACAGAGACCACCTCCTCCATCCTTGCATCAGTCAAAGAGCAGGTATGCACTCTCCGGTGTATACGTCTGTGTCAAACATGTGCCAAACCTGTGTTATGTTTACCTTTGATAAATAAAAGGCCGGTTTTTGCTTAGGGTTCCCTCTCTTTCTCTTGCTTGTTCCACTTCTTTCCCTTCATAGCCCTGGAACAGCTTGCTGAGGCGGGACAAGAGCTTGTTACTGTTAGTGAGCAAAAATGGTGTTCTGCTGCTTTCAAGTGTTTAAAAGAAATCAAAGACTGATTGATACCAAGGGAATGCAAGAGTGTAATGGGTGGAAATGATGGAGATTATGGGGCGAGAGCTGTAGCCAAGTAGACAATAGTAAGAAGTAATTAAAATCAAGGAAATTAATTGACAGGAGTGTTGGAAGGTAGCTGTAGCCCTGTAAGAGGGCAGGTCATGCAATGATGGCACCTGGTTTCAGGTTAGTATGAGGAAGGGGAAAGAATAGAGCACATAGACTAGGGAAGGAAGAAGAGGCCAATGGGATCATGTACAGTATGTCAGGGTGGGTAGGTCTAGTGTGAGAGAGGAGGAAGATGGTTCAGAATAACATTAATGATTTACATGACTGTCAGGCGAAGGGAAGAGAGAAAACAAGAATGAAAGAGACAGAGAGAATAGAAAGGTTGTGGGTCTGATTAATACAAGTAGAAGGTTTACTATAAGGCAGGCATGTGTGTTTTGTTAGTTTGCACAGTTAAATCACTTGATGTCTTTATGAGGAATGTATATTAAGGATTTACAGCTAATTTTCTGTCGCTAAATAGTGAAATTGTGTATGTTTATATTTTCTACGGAGTCGCAGTGGGGTTTCGCACTAGAAAAACAGAAGAAAAGTGGCACCTCAGGAATTTGCACATTTGGTCTCCTGCAATGTGTATTTTAAGGCTTTCATATTCTGGGATGCAAAACTAAAGGAGGAAAAAGTGGAAGTATAAGAAATACTCTCAGTGCCTGATTTTCCACGACTGTGACAGAGGGAATTGGGGCTGAAATGTACTTTCTACTGTCCCTCTTGGTCCACCTGTGCATAATACAGTCGTGTCCGTACAAGGTGAAGCACATTCAAAATAACAGAGCTGCGGCTGTGCTCATTTACATCATCAGTGTCGGTAAGTATGGCTCTAAATTGAAAAATTATGGTGCTGTAATATTTTCCATGCCATGATTTGCGACAGGTTTAGTAAATATCCTCCAAGTATTTATTTTGTACTTAATTGAAGTGTAAAGCAAAGAACTTCACAGACAAACATGAAACAATGAAAAGACACTGCGAGTCCCGAGTCCCTCTGAGAAACACCTCAAGTTCATGCTAATTGTATTTGCTGATTTGTGTTTAGTCTTGGGCATATTCCTTTGTGTAATGGAATGTTGATTCATTTGGATTTAGTTCATCAGCAAATGCAATACACCATATACTTGATTTATCATTTTGCCTATTTACATTAACTCAGAAGTTGTCCTTAATTTAATACCAATTTCCATTTACCCTTACTGGCCAAAGAACAAGTGCTGAAAACAATTTAAGCTTTTTTCCCAGCTTGCACATGGCATTCATTTGTGTTTTTTATTCTCCACTCTATAAACAATTTCAGTGCTTGGATATTACTGAATCACTGACGCATGGAGGGTTTAGTAAGATCCATGCACTGGATGAGTTTTGAAGAAGCTCTCCTCTACTGTTGGGAGAACAAATATACAGAAGTTGTCCAAAAGCAAATGCATCATATGTAGTTATTTTGTTCAGTCATCAGAAAGAACAGAAATGCTTTTGCTTTCAGGTTCAAGCAACTTGAGATTTATGTTACAGTAGACAACATACTGTACTTCTCATTGGAGATTATTCACTACAATCATAGTATCAACTTGCACTTTGCCAAAGCTTGTATATAAATCAGAAAGCCCAACAGAAAATCTGCTTCATTTGCAGATAAATGTCAACTAGCTATCTCTCTAGTTACATTTTTTTTTCAGGTTTAACGGCTCATGTACTGCAACAGTTGGAGACATCTGAGTTTCTTAAGATGTTTTGCATGGTGTTGCATCAGGTCTCGTTTTGCCTCAGGAGAGCTCCACAGAGACCAATTAAACAAATCCTGATTTGCTGTACAATCTATCGGTTTTTTGCATATTTGTATTTAGCTGGGTTAAATCCTCCTGACGTCAGGACTTAACCAGACCTGAGCTTTTTATGTCTGGTTGCCATCTTTTAATTAAAATAAAATGACATCTGTCTTCCGTGTTGGTTGTGTTAGTAATTTATTAGCATTTAGTTAGAATTGCTGTAAGGCACTATTTATATGACTTATTATATTTTTGAGTGCTTTATGACATCAATTTTCTCTGTTTTTCTACCCTACAATTATAGTCTCCAACCTATGAGAATATGGAGGACAATTTAAATGATAAATGAATTTAGTTTTTACCTTTTTCTCTTTGATTAGACATACTGAAGAGACAAATCACTGATGTTTCAATGATTATTCAAGGGCATGCACTGTAGTAAGAGGAATCAAATGAGATAAGCTATCAAATGCTGAGTTATAGTAATGTCATAACTCTTGCAAAATATACAGTAGGTCATGTACCAATTTACAACTAGTATGGATATTGCTGTGCATGGTCATCGCAGAGAGGTTGGAACTAATTACCATCTTGAACTGTTCATTTTACAGTACTCTAGCATTATGTGAGTGTGTGTGTGTGTGTGTGTGTGTGTGTGGCATCTTCTAAAATGGACCCTTAGAAATCTTATTTGATAATGGAAATGTCTAAAACGCAGTCCTTAAATATGGAACTAATTTGCAGTATATGGTTAAAACCACTGCCTTTAAAGGATAACTGCAGTTTTAAAGAATTAATACATTTTTACTTGCTATATTTCCTTTAAAATTGCGTATTATGCCTCTACAGATTGTGCTAATTTTGCTATCATTACCTCCGTTGTAGAGAATCGGGGAATAGAAAAGTTGTGCTAAACAAGCATCCCTGGGACAATTGGTTGGCCTCTGAGGGAGCTCAGAATAAACATGATTTCAGTCAAATAATTTTTCACACTTATCTCTTAGTCTGAAGGAAAGCAAAATACAAGATATAGCTATCTGAAGTGGCTATTACAGCTAAGATAATCTTGGTCGCCCTGGTCATTAGGTCAGCCAACAAGTTGACCCACATATATTGTCCAATGTAGACAGATAACAACACAAACCAATCAATCAGTCACATGATTAATGACATTATATCCCCCAATGGTGATGATGATTGTGATCAGGCCAGGAGAACCTGTGCATTAAATCACCAGTGCTGCCAGGCAGGCTGCCAGGGATGAGACAGGGAAGAGGTCTGCTAGATTTATGGATAGATATAACTGCATATCATGAGCATGGAAGTGAAAAAAGGAGCTGTAACTGTAGCCATCACTGTTGTCATCTTTCAGTACTTTCTCCTCCCTTTATCCATCTACAAAAGCTCTGCTCTTCCTGCATGGTGTTGAACTACACTGTCATTCTGCCTTGAGTTTGTTGGATGTGAGCTGCAGGTATCCATAAACCACTGGGGTTATCAAGGGTTCACAACAGATGGAGGCTTTGCCTGTTTAAAAGAAGCATGGTCTTTTTTCTGAGCTGAGAGGGTAATGTATTCAGTCTTTTAGACTGCCACTTATTCTTCAGACTCATTTTCTTTGCTTGGAGTTTGAGTGCATTTCTTTGGCCTTTAGAGTGAGCTGAAAAATTTTCTTTGGCTAATATGCTCTTACTAAGCTAACTAGGTTTACTGCTCTGGTCGTTAACTGTGCATATTCCGATCACTTTGACAGCACTTGCAGAAGTTGCTTTAAAACTTTTTGTGTAGTTGTCTGTGTGTCGTTTACAGCTTGCTCTAAAAGTAAATTTGTGAGTGATTTGTGCATGTGTGTACCCTAATAAACATTTCTGCTTCTCTGCCTCACTGTCCATCTCTGCGGCGCCTATCCTCCCCCCCCTCTGTCGATACTCTTGTTTGTTGCTGGGGGTGACAGCTGTGTTTTACAGCTCATGTCAATGAACTCTGGCTCAGGGTCAGAATGATGGAGAAGAATGTAATCATCCTGCACACTCATGACTATCAAATACAGGAAAAATCGGCAATCAACTGAAATTTTAATGTGTCACAAACAGATGAAAAACACACATTTTTTCAGCTTTCAGTAATGTTTTGAAAAGATTTAATAAGGCTGTGGAACCTGAAATTTGTGGCACAGAAGACTTTGTGAACTTGAAGCTTTCTTGCTTCTATAACACTATTGAGTGAGGCTGGCCTTTGACCTGCAAAATGTGTACTCTGTCTGCTGTAGCAGTGTCGCTTTACAGCTAGAACATTGTGTCAGTGGTTTTCTAGCTGAAAATTGGGTTCCATGCATCTTTACTTTGAGTGTCCTCAGTGTCCTTCTCTGTCTTTTTCACTGTGTCAGTGTGGGAACAGATCATTTAGCGACCATGCACACATTCTGAGCTCTCTGTGTGTGTGAGACTGAACTAATTATCCATATTCATTCTGTGCATGCAGTATAGCTGTGTATGGGTCTGTGCTTGCTTGACTGCTTCTCTTTCTGTGTGTGTGGATGTCTATAAAAGTGTGTAAGTCATGTGGATAAGTACACTGTAATATAAGAGACGGTTGTCTGTTAGATAAGGAAGACATCACCCAGCTCTGCCTGTAAACACTCTC